ATACTGATATTTAAGGATAGTGTTAATTTGTGATTATGATTATTTTTTTCATTCTTGACATGATATGTAAATCACGATGATTTTTATATTGATTGAGTTCTTTGCTGTTACTATTTGTACAATTCGGTCTCAAAAAATTCTACTTTGGTGCTGATTATCTTGGTTCTTACAAGTTATAACTTTATCTTGGTGATACTCAGAGGGCATTGCACATTGTCTTTCTGAAGGTTCTTCTTTATTTTTTTCTGTCTTATTTTAGTTATTTACTTCTTTTATAATATCTTCATTCTGACAGGTGTGTAGAATTTTACCTCTTTCATTTTGACGGGCGTAAAATTTCCTACTACTATTTTTTTGGCAAGTGATTTTTTGGCCATACCCTCATGTACAGGTAAATCGCCTCCGGCGTCTCAAACGCCCAATAGCAGGCGTTGGTTGTGCGTCCACTGGGGATACTTCTGCAGCCCTTTCTGCGTACTGTGCTGCTGCTGGCATCCCCTCTATTGTCTTCCTTCCTGCAGATCGTATCTCCATTGCTCAACTTGTTCAGCCCATTGCGAATGGTGCCACCGTTCTTTCCCTTGATACTGACTTTGATGGCTGTATGAGATTGATCCGGGAAGTAACTGCTGAACTTCCCATTTACCTAGCCAACTCCCTCAATTCCCTCCGCCTTGAAGGCCAGAAGACTGCAGCCATTGAAATCGTTCAACAGTTTGATTGGCAAGTGCCTGACTGGGTCATTATCCCAGGTGGTAATCTGGGCAACATCTACGCGTTCTACAAAGGGTTTGAGCTATGCCGAGAACTTGGCCTAGTTGATAAAGTGCCCCGGCTGGTGTGTGCACAAGCTGCAAATGCTAATCCACTCTATCTCTATTACAAGTCTGAATGGAAGGACTTCAAGCCTGTTATTGCCAGCCAAACCTTTGCCTCTGCTATTCAAATTGGTGACCCTGTGTCAATTGATCGGGCAGTGCATGCCCTCAAGGCTACCAATGGAATTGTTGAGGAGGCTACGGAGGAGGAGTTGATGAATGCAACAGCTCAAGCTGATCAGACCGGTATGTTTGCATGCCCTCACACTGGGGTTGCGCTCACTGCATTGAAGAAGTTGAGGGATCAAGGGGTGATCAATAAGAATGACAGGACGGTGGTCGTGAGTACGGCACATGGTTTGAAGTTCACACAGTCAAAGGTGGATTACCACTCACGGGAGATTCAAAACATGCTTTGTCAATATGCCAATCCACCAGTGAATGTGAAGGCAGATTTTGGTTCAGTTATGGATGTATTGAAGAAGAAGCTCTCTAGGAATATCTAATGTAAGTCCTGGTTGACCCTTCAATTTCCGCCATTGACTTACCTGACAAATATCTGATTTGGGTCTTTTGTATGGTTATCTAGTATTTATCATCCTTTGTTGATTGTTTCACATACCTTATTTTCTTTTTTAATTCTTTTTTTCTGAAATTCTATGATGTTTGTTTTCAACTAATGATCTTGAAATGTAAAACAATATTCGGAATGATTCTTATGAATTATGCAGCGATCATCGACCAGAGTACGCAGTTAAGGTATTAATAACATTAGTTATTCCTTCAAGGATTCTAGGATTTTGTAGATTCAAGAATTTTCTTGATGACTTCTGTTCCATGTTGAGTTAACATTATGGACAGGTCTCAAATGTCTAAATGTGATAATATTGGAATAGGAATACCTGGATGCATGTATATGTTTAGCATCCTGTAGAATATACTAAATATAATATATGATAAAACCATGCATCTGTAACACTAGCTTAATTTAACTGCCACTGCGCCACAGGAGTAAAGCTTCTTCTCGGCTGTGCGGCTGTACAAGGGACACAGGTGCCTATTTTTACAGTAGGCTGTGGGTCTTTCTCCATGTAAATTGAGATTAAAGTGATGAAGGGTGGCATAAAGTGTTATCAGATTTTCAAATATCCATGACCTAGGGGGATCTTCTCAACTCTATTGCATGAACACCTATTAGAGGTTTTCCTATTCATGTCCAACCTGTATGTGTGTTGAGTCATTGACACATTCAGGGCACTTGATGAGAACACGTTCATTATGTCCAGGACGTGCCCAACCTTGAACCATCTTGGAGACAATCAGATTCAACCTGGATGCATTTATTTTTAATAATTTATATAATTGATGGTCTATAGTTTATATGAAATTGAATTCATTGAATTTTATCATGAATGTGGGGTGTTTTTAGCGACGTAGGTGTGTTTGTCAACTTCTCCTTAACCAGCTTAATATACACTAATCTGGTCAAGGAGTTGAATCAGTGGTGGATCTAGCTTGGAGGAAGTGGTGTCACTTGACACCACTTCCTCCCAAGGAATAGGGGAGAGCTTACGTTTATTTTGAATTTTTGTACTCTAATCCATTATTGTCCATACATTTCATGTATCAATATTTTGTTTGGAGTTCTGCCTCACCCAAAACTTCTTACATTCAAACCTCAGTACACCATAATTGATGGTATCAATCTAAATCAAGTGTCCTTTAACTATTATATGTATATGCATACACATTATAGTTGCATTTTTATTGCCTGATCAGAATGATAGTTCTGCACCCCTCTTGCAATGAATGATTGATAGTGTTACTATTAATGCTATCATTGGTAGCGTTACTAGACAAAAAGATGATTGGGTCAATGATTGTTTAAAGATATATATTGCGAAATATGCATTTTCATAGTGTTATTAGCGATATGATTATGTTTTTTTATTCAAAATATGAAAACCTAATCGAGGATAGCTGTAATAGTTTTTTAACTTTTAACTATGTGGTGACGTCACTTTCTAAAAATCATGGATCCGCCATTGAGTTGAATTGTGTTTGGCAAAAACTAGGCCATAACTGACCCAAAATTTTAGCTTATTTCCTCTCCTTATCCAGGTTAAGATTAGACCACCACTTCCTTGGACCAATCCTAACCTAGTTAGAGGACTTATCTAAGTTAAGAAAGATTTACCAAACACGGCCTAGAGGTTATATCATGCTCACATCTGATTTTTTTACATGCATACATTGCATAGTTCTGGTCTAGTTTTTTTAGTTCACTTTTCTCCCCTTATCTAGGTTTAAGATTGGACCACCTCTCCCCTTGACTAATCCTACATTGGTTAAGGACTTATCTAGGTTAAGAGAGATTTGTCAAACACATCCTAGAGATTATATCATGCTTTAATCTGATTCTTTTTACATGCATACATACGTAGTAAATATTCACATATAACCAAGGTCTTAAATATCGGATATCGGGGAAATATCGGATGACCAAAATTCATATCGGATTGTGGATTTTAGGGAAATATCGAGGATATGTGGGAAATATCGAAATGCCATAACGGATATTTGCATATATAGTATAATGCACTAAAATATAATCTCAACATACTTAATAAAATCTAAACATACAAAATGTAAATAATATATGCTTAGGATCACTAATTAACCTTGTAAAACAAATAAAAGTGAAAATTCACGTTGTAATATTTTGTCTGATTTTTTTAGGCCAAAATGTCATTTGATATAATGGGAAAGTCATGATATCTCGCCTAAAAATTGCCAAACACGGTATATTATTTTGCAACAAGCCATATAAAAGGATACATCGGTTAACATATTGGCTAATATATCGACTAATTCGGGGATATATCACCCAAATTTGTCAAAAAGCGGTAAATGATATTTAGAGACTATCAGTTGTGGAAAGCCTTGTAAAAGGATATATCGAGGGATATATCGGGATATGTTGGGGATATTTGAAGCAATGCATATAACATACATGTATACATATTTGTTTATCTCTGTCTATATACCTATCTATACCTATTTATTTGTGTGTGTGTGTGAGGGCATGCATGCACACATGTGCACATGCATGTTTGTGCGCTTATGTGTGCTTGCATGCGACCACGCGCCGTAAGCAGTGACATAGCCCAAAATTGGAGTTTGGGATACTCTTTCTTTCTTCTTAAAAAAAGACAACTATATGAAATGATTGTTTGCAAAAAAATAGAGAGTACTCTCTCTACTCCTAACTAAAGCATAGTTGGTTATGTAGTTTTGGTTCTCTCATGCTTTAAGTTCATGACCTGTGGATATTGAACCTAGATTCTTCTCTGATATCATGTCAAAATGCCCTACCACTACACTAAAAAGCTAAAATTGTGGTGAGGCTCAGGGTGAGGTTTAGAGCTGAAGTTTTATGTTCTAATATGTCCTCGCAGATTGAGCACCCTTCCATTTCACCAAAAACTCCAATGATATGTTTAGTTAGAAGTTATCCCTTCGATTAGTTGAGGAGTTTGAAGTTGTATCTTTCTTTCAATCAATAGAATGTAGCTTGTGAATTATTAGCTCGATTGCTATTTTTCAACTTTTATTTATATGCTTCAATTTTTGGCGACCAATGTTAAAGCTGGAACCTAGCCCCCTTAGGCTCTTGCTTAGACCTAACTGGTACTTTGGTTACCCGCCTAAATATTGGGAGCGCCTAGGACAGTAGAGATCCTATCAGAACTATTCTTATAGGTGTAGGGTGATTTACGCCATTGATGAAATAGTCACAAAATCTTCCAATCTAAGCCTCTTATGGGCCATGTATGGTATAGATCATCCTATTTTATAGTGTTCTGATATAATTTTTACTTAGGGAAGCGTGGACCACCTACGCAACCTACACCATTTAGTCCTGGTCGTGATTTCCTCTGATGCTGCCTACACGTTCTCTGACCTCCGAATTTCTCTGACCTCCACCGACTACAAACACCTCTAGCTCCTTTGACCTTCAGCAAAGATTACCACTTAAACAAGAAAAGAAATCCTCCTAGACCCCGCTTAGGCGTTAGATGCCAGTTTGACACCTAGCGGCGCCTAGCGCTTTCTATAATATTGGTTGTAATTAAAAATAAAAATATATAGAAATATAGAAAAACGTTTAGGTTGTAGGCGTCGGTTTCGATGCCTAGGCCATTTTGCGTTTTTTGTAATCTTGTTCGTTATGCTCTATTTGGAGCTCGCTAATAGAGGGTGAATGAAGAGAAAAGAAAGAGAAAATATGTGAGGGGAAGGAAAGTGAAGGGAAAATATTTCAACCATGTTCGGGAGTTGAGTAAAGAGAATTGAAGGGAATTTATTTCACCATGTTTAGGAGTTTTAATAAGGAGAAGAAAAGGTATCTGTTGAGGAAATTTACTTAGATAAAATAAAATAATAAGTATGGGCATTGAACTTGTGTTTCTTATTTAACAAAGAAAAAGATACAAATGTTAGGGTTCATATCTCTGGGCATTTGTGCCTAACAACTCACATGCTTATTACTAATTACAATTTATATGCCGAGTTTCTCACAAACATTTTTCTTTTCTTTCCTCAAATAAAGAAACACAATCCCTTTTTATTAGAATAAAATAAAATTTTAATCCTAATTAATAGATAATATCAAATAACACATCCTAACAAAAAACAATTTCAATCCTAACCTAAACATCCAATCAATCAAAACTAAACAACAAACTCAATCCTAACTATAGATCTTAACTATAAGAAAAATTAAATCCTTAAAAATAAAATTCTAATCGAACACTCCCTGTCTTGTAACAAATTCTCTGGAAATTCTCTACATAGTAGGGTTTATCCTATAATCATGCAACTTAAACTCTTGGTCTCTACATGAATTCTTATTCAAAAGATGAGCATGTTTATTATTTGTTTTAGCTACTCATCTTTTTCCTTTTCTTTAAGCGTTTTAGGTCATGAAGAAAACTCTTATCTTCTCCCCTCTAATGTTTAAATCGTAAGTGTTGGTTCTCCTAAATCAAGTCACATATAGGTCGTATAACCCAGACCTACCTAAACTAATGCAATGCAACATTTATGGGAAGGGCATCACATGAAGTGTAATTTTCATTACTTAATATCTAGATAAGAACTAATCAAAGTTAGGTAATAAGATGTCCGGTGTTGTCGATCCAACCAATGCTATATGGTTGTGGATGAGGTTCAGGTGTTAACTTTAACATATCTACAGTTGATTTAGAGGTAACATTCACATTAATACCTCTATCAATCATTATTTTAGAAAAAATATCCTTATATTTAAAATAGGTGTGAAATATAATAGTTCTTCACCAATCTACCTCATTCCTCGGTGAAACGAGTGAATAAGTAACGTGTATGTGTTCGTCGGTGATTCTTAACATATCCTTGACATCATTAGCATCTTACTCAGGATCATATGCTTTTATAATAACACAAATATCATCATTTTTATCATC